AAATACTGCAGATCTTTTTTTTTTTTTTTTTTTTGCATCTCGCTGTGGCATATTGCATTAAGCATCATCTGTATATGTCTGCAACACCCACTCTGAACCAGACTTGTGATTAGTGCTGTCGAATCCACAGGAATGCTGTTCTGCCCAGCAAACCATAAGTGCTGGAAAGGGCAGCTGTAAGTCTGGGAAGACATGAAGCAAGGGTGGGAACTTGTTTTGTCCCAGTAAATCTGAACCATTTAAGAGTCAGGAACTTCATTAAAACTGTAGAGAAATAAGCTAAATATTGCATAATACCACACTAAATAAAACCCATGGTAGAGCATCAACAATATTTTTCTGGGCATTTTGTGATCTTAAAGTCAGTTTTACTGTTCTCAACAAGTTAAATAAAATTATCAGGAGAGGCTTAGCAAATGTCCTTTTTATGTAGTTCTTCATAAAAACCATTAAGTGCCTAATTAATTTCTTTAATCATTAGATGGGTTAACTTTCCCCTGGAAATGTCTGGGATAACAGAGAAACAAAGTGGGTGAGGTAATATCTTTTACTGGATAAAAATATATTACCTCACTCACCTAGTGTCTAATATTCTGGGACCAGCACTGCAAACAGTGGGATAACGGAGTCCTTCCTCAGGTGATTAGTTAATAATTTCCTGACTGTATCATCAGTGCCTTAGCAACTACGTGACTTCATGGTTTAGTTTTATTAAACACAAACTCCCCTTTAAACATGTCATTCAGCTTGGTTGAGGTGTGGCCTGACCCTGACAGGTACTGGGTATCTCAAACTCCCTTTGAGCTGAGTGGAAGTTGATAAAAAATATTTCTTCGGCTTTGCTGATCCATACCCAACCCCCACCGCCTTTTTGCAGTAGTGGAGCTTGTAGATATACTTCATTGGGGTAAAAAGTGACTTGCTACTGGTGCAGCTTTCCCCAGTCTGAAACCAAGTTAAACAGCACCACTGCAAGCCTCAGTCTACACCAATGCAGTGCATCTGCACTTAGGGTGCAAAAATCCCCAGTGGAGACAAGCCCTGAGGATTAGACCCATGATGAGAAGCTGGAAAGATGGGTTTATAAGGTTCTTTCAAGCATTTGTTTGTCTGATTTCTGGTTTCAAAAAACCTTTCTGCATGCTAATGTGAAATTTTTTGTTCAGTCCCATTCTATGGACTAAAGTCTTCTCCTGATTACACACACAAATCCCTTTAAGTACAGTATGTGAGTCCAATTCAGATGTGGTGTAAGTGAAAGCACTGAAAGCATGTAGACCTATTCACCTTGCGCACATGGTTTACACTAGTGTAACCCCATTAAGGGTAACGGACTTACTCCTGAATTACACTAGCATGAGGGAGAGAAGAATTGGGTCCTCTGTGTTTATTGATAAACACACACATAAGACTTTTTATTTGGATTCATACTTTATGTGGATGCACTGGTATCTGTTTCACTAGTTTCTTATTTGTAATGAGGTTCACAGATCTAATGTCACGGATTGGTGGACCTCATTACTCCAAGGAAGGAAATGTTCACGTAAGGCATGGGTAAATATTCCTGACTTGTATGATAGATGTAGCTAGATCAAACTGTGTAAACACAGTGCAGAACTGCTGTAAGACTACTGCCTGAAGTACAGGTGAGGTGGGATGCACATTCCAAGTGAAGCTGTATTTTCACAAGGAAAATGACACATTTGTTTTCAGCATAAGGTCCCTCCACGCTTCCTCCTCAGCTGATGTTGAAAACTATTAAAATGTTAATGTAGATGGGATACAACTATTGTTAGCACCATTACAGAAAGCAGTGAGACCATCTCACTTGGAAAAGGTACCCCACTTCTTATCTAAGTAATGTCACTGTGGGTTGCTCCATTAAAATGAGTGTGTCCTGCACCTTTGATGGAGATTTTTGGTAGCAGTGCCTATCTGCCCGCACATGCACCCTACACATCTTCGTGCCCTAAACTGAGGCTATTCTAGTTGGGTGGCCAAACTGTGGCTCTTGCCATTAAAGTGCAGCTCACAAGCCCCCAGCTCCTCCATTCTCTGCCTCCCAGACTGCGGGGGGAGAGCTCAGGACCTCTGCCTTGCAGCGGATGGTGGGGTAGGGACTTCTGTCCAGTGGGGAGGGGGGTTCCGGGGCTTCAGCCCTGTGGGGTGCACGTGCCAGGGCTTGGTGCTTCAGCAGGAGTGAGGCTGAAGCCCGAGCCCCAGCTTCTGGGCAGTTGTGCCCCGGCTCTCGAACTTCTGAAGATTGTCATATGCGGCTCGGCGGGCCAGTAAGTTTGGCCACCCCTGCTATATAGGGCTCTGAGGGCAAACTGACCTCAGTTCCTACTCAACTGCCTTTGGCCAGAGACAGTATCTAGCATGTGACTGTGCTGTACCCGTTTCCCACTTTTATTAGTGTTTTAGGTTTGTAGTTAGTTTTAAATAGTAGTAGATTTAATACCTTACAGTTGGAACATTTGTTACCCTCTTCTTTTAAAAAAAAGATAGAAAAGATTGTCCATTGTCCCCCCCCATTGAGGGGCTGAGGGACTGGAACAACTTTTCCTTTTGTTGGGGATGCCAGGCTCATTGGGATTTAAAACGTGCCTTTCTTATTGAGAAGCAATCCCTATTAGTGATGGGCACTCCCGCTGCGTTCATTGCTTGTGCGTATTGCCCACCTTAGCACGGGTGGCACAGACAATTAATGAAGCCCTCTTGGAGCCAGCCAAGTCCATCTGGCAAACCCCAGCAACACCACCACCACACGGAAGAGTGATGATTAAAATGAATACTACGTCCCACACAGGGATTCTGAATTTTTATTTTTTCATCCCAGCACCAAACTCTCTGGTCATGGATGTAGTCAATGAAAGGGGCAGATGGTGCATACCCAAAAAGCCACCCCTTTATAATATTTGATACCAGATATGTCTATTTGTTTGTAAGAGCTATTCATCAGCAACACTTCAGTTAAGGATAGCTCATCACCAGGTGCTGATGTCAAAATATGACTACCTGGACAATGCGAAGTTTAAGGATTTTATTGACCATTTACTGCAGGAACATTGAGGACAGTTCTGTGCCATAATAAAGGAGGATCAGGCTTTTGTAAAAGACCTCACTGCAGGCTTCATAGATGTGGCTGACACTACAGCCGGGTCTGTTTCCATCGCAGTTGTGACAAGGCTAACTTCCTGGGTTCAGTTGTCTGGGTTTCCACAGGAGGTACAATCAACCATGAAGGATTTACTTTTCAGTGGCCAGAAGCTTTTCATAGATTCCACAGACAACTCACTTCACACCCTAAAAGACTCTAGGGCAAAATTTAAGTTTTTAGGAGTATATACATGCCTGCAAAAGATAAGGAAGTTTAACAGGTGTCAGTCATGTCTCAAAGATCCTACCCTGTTCAGTTTTCTATCTCCCGCAGAACACTGGAACCAACAGCTAAGAGGTATAGGTTTTCAAAGAAAAGGCCTGTAACTACCTTGACTGCATCAGCTGAGCCTTTGGCATTGTCCAAACATCATTTTTGATGGTTTGGTCTAGAGTCCAGACCACCCAATGACCAGATTTTATCAGCTGCATTACACATACGCCCCTTCCTCAATTTGGACACCGTCTCTCTATATTTCATCAAGCCTGGGAGGCTATAACATTGGACAAATGGGTATAGGAGGCGATTACTTTGGGTTCTACAATCCAATTTACCTCCACCCTGCCCCTTCAACCACTTACCCCATTATGATTAATTCTTACACAGGAAATGTCATCACTTCTAAATCTAGGAGACATAGAACCAGTCTCACAAGGGAAAAGGGTTCTATTTAAGATACTTTTTGATACCCAAGAAAAATGGATCTCAGACAACTGGACAAGGATGTCAGACAATTAAAATTCAAGATGGTGTCCCTAGTAGATATAATTCCTTCCCTGGAATTGGGACTGGTTTGTGACCCTAGACCTCAAAGGTGCCTACTTCCATGTAATAATTCATCCTTCCCACAAAAGAGTGTCTTTGTTTCACTTTCAATCGCAATCATTACCAGTACCAGGTTCTACACTTTTTTGGCCTGTCATTCACCCCAAGAGTGTTCTTAAAAATCATGGCTGTCGTAGCTGCCTACCTCTATTGTCTAGGAAGAACTGTTCTTTCCCTATCTTAGCAACTGGCTCCTCAAGGGTTGGTCATATAGAGATATTAGGTTTGCTGTCCAAACAACAACTTCAGTATTCTGAAGTCTAGGCCTGCAGATAAATCTCGAGAAATTAATTTTCTCAGTAATTTCTCTTCATAAGAGAACTTCCAGATTTAATAATGTGCAGATCTTATCTCCCTCTCACCTGGTTTCTTGCTCTAAGGAATCTTATACAAAGAGTGCAGCTCAGCCTTCAAGTTCCAGTAAGGACATGTGTGCAACTGCTGGGACACCTGGTGGCTTGCATTTTGTGACATAAAACACCAGGTTATATCTTCAGTGTCTCCAGGGATAGCTCAGGCCTGTTTCTGTACCCCGCAAACATGGTTTGAAGAAGCAGGTATCTGTACCTAGATAGATCCTACAGTCACTCACCTGGTGGCTGAATCCTTCCAAAGTTTGTGCAGGAATCCTGTTCAGTCAGAAACACCTTACAGTTATATTAACATTGGATGCTTCCCTCTTGGGATGGGGAGCACATTTGGGTCCTCACGCAGTCCAAGGCAAATGGCCACAAAAGGAACAGCACTTGCACATCCACCTGTTTGAATTAAGGGCGATCAGAAATGCTTACCTCCAATTTTTTCCCTGCTCAGAAACAAGTCCATCAAGAGATCTTGACAGACAGCATAGCATGCATGAACTGTATCAATCATCAAGTCAGAGCATTTTCCCCCTCACTCTGGGCCAAAGCGATAAAGCTTTGGAACTGGTGCATCACCAGTTGGATAGTCATCTTGACTTCTTACCTCCTGGGGATACAAAACACCAGGGTGGACGAACTGAGCAGATGATTTCTCCCTAAATTTTGAATGGGAGTTGGACTCCTGAGTCCTCAACAAAATATTCCTAGCTTGGGGATTTCCAGAGGTCAATCTTTTTGCCACAGTAGCCAACACAAAGTGCAGGAAATTGTGTTCCAGATGGGGGCTTTATTCTGAATCTCTGGAGATGCTTTCCTCATTACTGGACAAAAGGTCTTCTCTCTGCATATCCTCCAACTCCATTGCTCTTAAAGGTCCTTATTGAGATCAGACAGGACAAAACCAAAATCATTTTGATTGCACCAACTTGGCCAAGACAAGTTTGGTTTCCTTACCTCATCAAACTCACCTCTTGCCCTCTTGTGGCAGCTCCTGAACAAACCTTGACTGTTGTCTCAGAATGCGGGTCAAATGCTCCATCCTAATCTGAACATCCTACAACTACAGGCTTGATTCCTCAATGGTTCTTGGGACTAGAGACCACATGTTCATCTGAAGTACAAAAGATATTGGTAAATATCAGAAAGGAATCTACTAGACAAATTTACCTTAAGAAATGGAAAAGATATAACCTTTGGTGTAAACTGGTGCCATCTTTCTCCTATCCAGACATCTCTTTCCTCAGGCTTTGATTACCTGTTGGAATTGAAATAATCAGGCCTTTCTATGAATTCCATAAGGGTTCATTTAGTGGTACTAACAGCTTTCCATATGGCAGTAGAAGGTTTCTCGGTATTCGCTCATCTGACCACAACAAGATTCCTACAAGGACTTTTTCTGCAGATTAGAGCCCCAACACCACTTCGGGATCTCAGCCTAATTCTTAACTATCTCATGAAACAACCCTTTGAGCCATTAGCTACGTGCTTGCTGCTACTTCTGTCTATGAAGATAGTCTTCTTGGTGGTCATCACTTCTGTTCAAAGAGTTAGGGAGAAGGAGGCTCTAATTACTTTGTCTTCCAAGGAGACCCTCCTACTACTTTGTCTTCAAAGGAGACGGTATCTTTACAACCTCATCCAAAGATCTTAGCTAAGGTGTCCTCTGAATTTCATATCAACCAAACTATTCACTTTCCAGGTTTTTTCCCTAAGCTGCATCAGCCTACACACGAGTCTGCTTTTCATACACTAGATATTGTGAGCATTAGCCTTTTATTTAGACAGGACTAAGCCATTCTGGAAGACCCCTAGACTTTTTGTTTCTATTGCATAGAGGTCTAAGGGAACATCTGTCTCCACTCAGGGCATGTCTACACAGGGATAAAAATCCCGTGGCTGGCCTGGGTCAGTTGACTTGGGTTAGTGGGGCTTGGGCTCTGGGACTGAAAAATCTCTGTGTAGACGTTTGGCCTTGGGCTGTAGCCTGAGCTCTGGGACCCTCCATTCTTGTTCCAGAGCTCAGGCTCCAGCCAGAGCCAGAACACAGAATTTTTCAGCCCCGAGCCCAAGTCAGCTGACCTAGGCCAGCCATGACTATGTCACAGGTCTTCTATCCCTGTGTAGATGTACTCTCAGAGACTTTCTAAATACATCTCGATGTATTATTGCCTGCTATGGGTTCACTGGGGTTATACCTCCCTAAGAGTGATTGCACACTCTGCTAGATGACAGTATACATCTGTAGCTCTACTTAAAGACATTCCAGTTGCTGAAATCTGCAGGGTTGCAATATGGTCCTCGTTGCACATGTTTTCCAACCACTATGTCTTAATTCATGCAGCAAGATCAGATGTGGCAGTAGGCAACGCAATTCTTTCTTTGGTGGTGGACTGTGTTCTAAAATTCCCACCTCCTTAAATCGTTACTGCAAGGGAGTCACCTTAAATGGAACACTGTGCAAACCCCACACTGGACAAAAAGGGGTTAAGGAACTACTCTGGGCTCAGCCAGCCCTGCCCCACCACATCTGTAGCAAATGCTCCAACTGGAAGAGGAGTTAAAAGGCAGGGAAGTAGCTCACTTGGTGGCAGACCAGGAAAGAGAGCAGACGTGCAACGTGCAGTGGAGAAGGGCTGAGACAACGGCCTAATCTTTCCCCACAACAATTGCCCAGAGCTCCCCCCCTGATGGAAGGGAGGGCCTGCTACAGAGACCGCCTGAGAGGAAGCATTCCCCTCTCCCTCTTGTACAAACTCTGGACTTTGGTAATCCATTTTGTTTGGTTTGGACTACCCCTGCAGGGGAAAGCCCTAGGACTGAGCTGGCCCAGGAGGGTGGGCCATACTGCAGGAGGAGGCAGTTGCCACCCAAGAGAGGAAGAGAGCTGCTATGCTACACGCTGCCACCAGGAGGTGTCTTGGGGTGAGCAGGCACCCTTCACACCATCTTAACCCAGATGGCGACTTTTGGACAATTGCAAGGGGGGAGATAGGATGTGGCCCAGGGAGGGCAGTCTTAAGCAACCCCCTGACTGTTAGATTACTGATAGCCCTCAAAGGGCCTGGGTCAGAGCCCAGTGGAGTGAGAGGGTCCTGGCTCCCCTACCAACAACCCTCTTGTAAGTCAGAGGCCTAAGCTATGACCAGTACGTGGCGTTACCCTACCAACCAACCCCTGAGCAAGGACCGTCACAAGCACCCACAGGGCACTGCTCGAAGGGGAAGGAGAGGTTACTCACCTTGTGTAGGTACTGCAGTTCTTCCAGATGTGTGTCCTTGTGGGTGCTCCATTACCTGACCTCTTCCCCTCTGCTTCAGAACGGCCTCTGTGGGCTCTGCAGCAGAGGGGGAATGGAGGTCCCTATATATATAGTCTTGGTAAAGGGCATGAGGATGTGTAGGGCATGTGAGCGGGCAGAACAGCCACTGCTACCAAAACTCTCCGGTCAAAGGTTGGGTGCTTGCGCACCTAAAGTGGAGCACCCACAGGTGGACACATCTTGAAGAACTGCAGTTACTGCACAAGGTGAGTAACCTTTCCTTCCCCTGTACCTTTGCTCCTAATTTTATTCTAACTGCTGGCTTGGATTTTTCTTTAATAATAAAATGAAGGAAAAATATAAAAACATTTAACGCTGTTGAGCTCTTTGCATATAGACATTGTCATCTCTGAGATTAGTGTGGATATTAAAAATAATAATAGTGCTGTACACTTACATAGCTTCTGTCATTTGCAAATGTCCATGCTTGCCAAGATAGATAGCTCCTGTTATTCCCATTTTACAGACAGGAAAATAGAGACACAGGAGGGCAAAGTGATTTGTCTGAGGTGATACAAGCTAGTGGCAAAGCTGGGAATAGATTCCCAGTTCTCTGCTCTAACCACTTCACAATGCTACCTCCTTGTATATTGGATTATACACATAGGATACATTTGAATTATTTAAGTTTTAAGTAGAGGGAGGAGGAAATCCCCTTTAGAAACAGGAGGACAAGATTCGTATTTGGTTTTTCAAGGGAAGGGTAGAAAAATTGACTGAGCAAGTGCAGACTCAGTTTTCGGCTTAGATTCTTCTCCGCTCTTGTTTCGATCTGCACTTTAATAATGATTTCTTTGTTTACAGCGTCCGGCCTCTCCTCCTCTCCATCTACCCCAACACAAGTGACCAAGCAGCCGCCATTTCCTCTTGAATCCTATAAACATGAACCTGAGAGACTAGAAACCCGGATTCACTCTTCTCCTCCGGACACAGGGCAGAGGTTTACTCTGCCTCCACCCCAAAATGCAGCCAAGCCTCCCACGGTGATGCCAACTCCCTGTGCTACCTCAAAAACAGTAAGTGGAGTATTTTGTTCAGAGTTTTCAATAGGGAGAGACCTGTGTGTGTTAGTATTTTTAATGGCTAACAACTGTGCATGCATAATGTGGGGCAGGTTGTGTGTAGTTGTACCCCTTTACATCAGGGATGACCTAAGACTTCACCATGTTCCGTAGACAATATGTCATCTTTAATCTGAAGTAAACTATGCAGTGGTTATGGGCCCTAACATCTACATTTTGATCTGAAGTGCCAGGTCAGGGAAGGGTAAAGTTGTTCAGGTCGCATGTTTTTTCTCCCAAGCCAACCTCTGAAATGGAGCTAGCAGAAAAGGAGAGTTTACATAATTTTCCTGCTGGTCAATCATTTGGGGAAGAACCAACCACCACTTCAAGCAGAAACTCTAACATAGTATCAGCTGCAGGGTTTGAGGTCCAGCTGGGCTCCCTCTAAGGCCTGACCTGATTGGGAGAACCTTCCTGTAATGGCACCAGTCCCCAGGAGGTTGTCTTTCCCCGACTCCAGCAAAATGAGAGAAGAAGAGTACAACCGCCAGGGGACATGGGCAGCTCCCAGGTGCAGAGACTCCCTGGCAACATGTCAGCAGACTGCATATTACAGTAGCCATCAATGCATCTGGCTACTTCATTGTTGTACCTGAAAGGCTGGTTGTGGGTTTTTCCGACTTCACAGCATATTTCAGTAACACACACATTGCAAAACTTCAAAACTTCCCATACAATAATAGCACATACAATCCAACAGGATATTAATGTTCAACAGATCAAGACTTTTAGAACGATACCTTACAAGTCATACTTTGTACAAAACATATTATAATCATATCACCATGGTAAATATGGGAGTGCCAGGGTGTTGCTTTGGAGTGCAGAGTATCACAATGACATTGTAAAGTGTTGTCATCAGTTGGTATATTTTGGTTTTGGATGCATCTATACAAATGAAAGGTTGTGAGGAATGTAAATATTTAGGGCCTGATTCCCCTTTGCTTTTCACCTTGTGTCATCATTTGTACCTGTGCAGAGTGGGTGTAAAATGCTGCCATTCTGATTTAGTAATCTTCACTTTGCCCCCATATAAAAGATGGCAAAAGATGCAAAGCAGTGGGGAATCAGATCCTTTATGTTTAATTTTCAACAGATGTCTTTAAAACCTATTAAATCCTTGATAAGATCTACTGAGAGGGCAAAGTGTTGGGAGAATGTGACTCACCTTCAATAGCTTGGAGATGATTATGAGACTGATAGTTTTGGGATTCTTGTGTCTTTTAATGACTGAATAGTTCACACTTTTCTCAGTAGTGCAGGTCCACAGCATTGCTCACAAGTCTGACCACAGTAGAGGAACAACATTAATTTATGAGCATTGCATGCATACACTTTGTTGTCTTCATTTTTCCTGACTTTCTCTTCTGTTGTGGGGTAATAAAACATTTGTGTTCATAAAGCACATACCATAAACAAGTCCCTAAAAGCCTTGCTGCTTATTAAGGCAGTTTTTTCTCTGGTTAATGATTTTTTTAAATCCCCTCTATAGATTATACGATAAATGATTCATGCTAACAGCTGTGGAATGCCTCTAGGTGCACAGTTTTGTCAATCAAAGGGAGGCTTGCTTGCAGACATGGCAACCTGTCTCAAACATCACTTAAAAGATGAAATCATGTTTCTTTCAGAAACTTTTTATGTACTAGTCTTACAAGTAACACCTAAAACTACTGTAACTAAAAGAATTTAGAAAAAAGTCTCTATTAATTTACTTTGCGAGTCTGTTTTCCTGTGTGTAGTCAGTTATTTAGGCCCCAGTCATTCAAATATTTATGCACATGCTTAATTTTAAGCATGAGTAATTCCATTTTATTTATTAATTATTATCATTATTATTATTTGTATTGTGGTAGCACGTAGGAGCCCCAGTCACAAACTGGGATCCACTGTTCTAGGCTCTGTACAAACACACAACAGCAGGGGGACTCGGGGAAGGTGTAGAACCAGTAGCTAGAGAACTAATTTTAACTTGCCTTTTAGGACTGACTAGATTTCAAGTTGTTTCTGTCCCCATACAGAACTGGCCTTTGGTATGCCTTGGAGTATGGCATTGAAGGGGTAAAAATCTGCTAGAGGAAAAGAGAAAGCGGGAAGGGAAAAAGTAATACTATTTATTTCCCTGCTGATATAATCTCAAAATTTCCTGTTGTGAAGAGCACTTCGAAGGATAGAATATTATCTAGAGCCTTAGATTTTGGAGAGAGGAAAAAAAGGTAGGAGGCAGCTCTTGACAGCGAGTAGGGAAGCGTACCTCTTCAGAGCAGATAATCCGAATACTACACACCAATCCAAGTAATTAACCCCTCACCGAATGGACGTCCAGGTTAATTACTATGTGACACATCTCTGCATTGGTATTTGTGGGCATTACTTCTAAAATTTTAGGTATTCATGAATATGCATACCATATTCTTTTAATAATGTATGTATGTTTGTGTCTGTGGGGCCAGAGTGTTGTAATGAGGAATTTAGCTGATAAGAGATCAAAGTTGTAAGCAGAGATTAGCATGCGCTACACTTAATGGGCCAAGTGCAACTTGATTTTTCAGTGTACAGTTCATGAGACAGTTTGTACTTGGACCTCGTGTTGTTTGGACTATGTGACCTTCAGGCGGTAAGTGGTGAATGATAACTTATTCTTCTTTAATGTGAAATTACTAACTGTGATTGGAATGCAAAGAGGTTGTAAATGTAATTGTGAACATATTTCCCTGTTTCTACTTTGCCCGTTTTGAAATGGAAATTAATACCCTGAGCTTAATGTTGCTGTTCTCCTTTTTATTCCCTCCTCATCCCTTCCTCTGCAGTGTTAGGGGCTGATGTGATGAAAGGGCCAGTGTTCCATTTATCACAAAAATATACATGTTTGCAGAGGACATCACTCCCCAGCCCATTTCAGGGCCTTGTCCTCCCCTCCATGAGAATAAATCATGCGGAGGAAAGAGAACTCCCTGTTTTTCAACATGTGGAGCTTCCTTTGAATTCTCCTATTGGGGAGAGCAGGGTTTGTGCCTCCTGCCCCTCCCAAAAGAAGCCACGGGTGCTGCATCCTTAACGGCAGGATCTCCAGGAGACAAGAGCATCTGCAAAAATGCCCCTTGCCTCCTCTGTGCCCTCTGGTTCTATAACCTCCCACCAGTCTCTGTAAACATGTCTTTTGGTCTTGCATTGGGCACCCCTCCTCTTACACTGTGGTTATTCGCTGGCACCCATCTAAAGGGGACACCTCAGCAAGGAAGGGAAGCCTTAGCCTAGAGCCCTGCAATGGGACTGGGGTCCCGCAGAACCTGCTGCCGTAATAGCGGGAGTGAGATGGGTGCAGGATTAAAAATAGTCCCACACAGGGCTCTACCTTAGCCTCAGCTTTGGGCTGTTTTACCCTGCAGGTGTTACTCCTGGAGGAATTCTGTGCCACTGCACGTGCGCAGAATGTCTGTCCCCTGCAGATTTCTTTGTTTCCCTGCAGAAAAATGACTTTCTGATGGGGAAGCAAAGGGAAGCCACAAAAGCGGTTATGCGACCTCCCCAACAGTATGTTTCTGGTGCCCAGGACAGCTGGCAGAGAGGAAAATTGCTGTGGGGTGGGGGCAGGACTGGGGAAGACATGGCTGGTGGCTCCTACCCTGCACCGGGCTCAGCTTCTAGTCCCGGCTGGGCTCGGGAGGACGGGACTTCCTCTTCCCCTGCACTGCATCCAGATCAGACCCACCCCCAGATTTTTCCCCTGGCTGTAGGAAGCTCTACAAACTCCTCCCACCCCTCCCAGCACTTCCTGCACCCATCACTCCACAATTGCAGGGGGAGGGATCACTGTACAGGGAGCTGCCCCCCTATCTGTCCAACTCTTGTGCATCCACATCCCTTCATATCCAGACCTTCCCTCTGAGCCTGACCCCCCAACACACCCAGAATCCCCCTCGACGAGCCCCACTCCCCCTGCACGTGGACAACCCTGACGAGCCACCTGCACCCGGATCCCCACACTACTGAGCCCCACTCCCCCTGCACCTGGATCCCAACCCCACTCCCCCAGCATCTGGACCCCCCCACTAAGCCCCCCATACCCAGACTCCCTGCCAAACTCTATCCCCCTGACACCTAGACCCACTGAGCCCCAACCACCTTCACCTGGACCCCCCTGCTGAGTCCCATTACCGTTGCACCCAGAACCCTCCAATAAGCCCCTGTGCATCCAGATCCCCCACTGAGCCGCTCACACCCAGATTGCCCCACACCTGGGTCCCCCCACACTAATCCCCTCCACACTTGGATCCTGCCTTGCTGAGCCTGCCTGCCCACACCTGGTGCACCTGGCATGGAGGGGCAGGCTCTGTCCTTGCACTGTGTCAAGGTTGGATGCAGCCTCACTGCTGAGTCTGTGTCCCTGGGGGGAGGGAGAACTGCACAGTGATCTGCCACCTCTGTGCAGCCAGTGGCCTGTGCTGCCCAATGCCATGCTGCAACCGCCACATTTATTTGACAAGTAAAATTGGCAGAATTTTAAAATAATGTGCGCATAATTTTTAATGTTTTGGTGCAGAATGCCTTCAGTAGTAAGGTGTAGGGAGAATCTGGAGGAGCCTAGTCCACATCTGGTTTACCCATTCCAAATTCACAGCCCTCCAAGAGAGGAAGGAGAAGGGGAATGTGCCACAGAGATGGAACTGTACCCTCCTCCACACCTAGATATGAACGGGAGTATGGGGCTTCAGTGACTACCTGGCTCTTTAACAGTGGCACTTCTCTCCAGGGCTTTTAATGCTGCTCCTTAGCCAAAGTGTAGTAAACTCACAAACACAGCTGTTCACCTGTTTTGCATAAGGAATGATTACATCACACTCTTCTGTGGGCAGGGAGCCTGGGAACCAGGCTATGCACAGCAGGTCCCTCAATTTGGCGCTCTCTCTAAAAGCAGTGCCACACATCAAAGCCCCATAATCAGGCTGCTTTATTGTAGAGATTTAACTTTTCTGAAGAGAACTGGAACTGACCTATGAATCTGAAGTTGTCTTACAAAAGCCTCATGGCTGGGGGAAAGGGAGTCTGTTCTTTCACTATACAGAGATTCAGAATTTCAGCATTCAGGTGATTTAAGGCAATATATTAGTGTGCCAAGACATTACTGTGACTCAGCATTGATTTATACTGCTGTAAACTGATAACAGAAATTAGAGATGAAAGGATTTAATAATTATCTAGTCTGTTACCTGCTAGTGCAGGAGTCTTTCCTGCAATACGTTTCCTAAAACGGTTATAGCCAGTCTAGTTTTAAATGCCTCAGATTATGTGGTGACCACTGCTTACTTCTCTGTGCAAGATTATTACACAGCCTAATGGATCTCAGTGGGCCCTAACAGGCCATCCTTATTTAAACTGAACTGCCAGTGAAACAGTTGCAGTCCATGTGAAAGTTGTCGTTAGTTAAAAGCTGGTGTATACGTTCATTTATCTGACAGTAGTCCATGATTGGTATTTCATAAATTGATTACCAAACCCAATAAATAAATAGCTTTTTAAAAAGAGTATATATAGTTGGCTATCTGACAATTAAGTGGGGGTATTAACATTTATCTACGAGTATCTGAAACGTTTAAATATCAGTGACCTGATTCTTCTCTCCTTTGAGTAAGTGTGTATCGCTGATAACTCCACTGAATTCAATGGAGTCATAGTGGGGTCAGATTTGTGTGAGGGGAGAATCAAACCCAGTGGTGAAGGGGAATATTTAACAGGGCGAGGGGGCTATAACTAGGAGCAGTGGGATGAAAATAAGAAAAATATAGGCTGAATATTAGGAAAAAATTTGCTAACATTGGGCTGTACCATTCCAGCTATACCTCTTTCTTAAAAAACTACTTACTTGGTTTCGAAAATAATATCTACAATCATACCATCATGAAATATAGTTTTATCGATGTAGTTATATACTAGTTTCTAATAGCATTCACAGCCACAGCAATCAGTCTTCTGATCCTGTAGGGAAATAACATTCCATAAAGGCACACTCTCTGCCCTAAGGAAATCAGAGTGCATACGTAAGATACTGTCTCCTCCCCTCCGCAGCCATACATCTAATTTGACCAGCTACCTGAGGATTCCCTCAATGTACGGACTTTCCAGGTGGCATAAAGCCAGCATGGTAGCTCCTAATATGCTTATCCCTTCTGGCCCCAGATTTAGGAAACATGGCCAGGGAAAATGGGGGTGTAGCTGGGATGTTGCTAAAACCAGCCAATCCTCATCTACTGTAATGTCCTCCTTGGGATTGTGGACAGCTGATG